GCATGTTATATCATGAATTTGATCTCTGTGGTTTGATATATTGTTGCTGAGGTTTGGTGATTATTAGCATGTTGAATTCGATTACTATTAGAAGTTTTAACCTCAGTTAGTATGACTATATATGTGCTGCTATGAGATTGAGAAGAAAGAAAAAGATAAGGCTTTATTATTATTATTATTATTATTATTATTATTATTGTGCTTTTTATTGATTTCTTTTATGCTGAGCTTCTTGTGTGTGTAATGTTGTTTTCTTATGTGTATATTTAGAGATTGAATTGTTGTTACGTGAATAAGCAAATGCTTCAAGATTAATCATGTTGCATTTTCTAGACTTAAGTTCAAGAACTAAAAGGACAATAATATTGTCTTAAGCATCCTGCTGAAGGCTCCATAAAGTATTTGAGAAGTCAATTTCTGTTTGAATAAGTTTTAATTGTTATCTGGAATTTAAAAAGTGTCATTCATGAGAATTAACTTGTGATACAGTTTCTCGCTCGAAAATGCAATTTCCTCAAAATTTAATGGGTCACGCATCTTCGTTTTCATGACATGCGATTAATATGGCTGAAAGTGTTTGAGAGTTCATGCTCTGAATATATGTGCCGTGAGATATTGCAGTTGTTGCCTTGTGTGTGCTTATCAGCCTTAATTGCTGGCTTTGTGTGTCTCTCTTTTTGTTAACCAACCTAATCAAAAACCCTTATTAATAATTAAACCCCTAATATGTTGATTAACGAGGAGTCGAGCCCTCGCCCTTGTTTGAACGTGCATTCACTATCATCCTCCGCAGAATCAGGTGGGTTGTTATTCTAAAATTGGCTATGCTGTAAATGTTATAAACATATAATTTGTGGGTTTTATTTTAAAATTTGCTATGCCTTAAATGTTATTACTGTTTTAATTATGGTATGATCAAGTATGCATGTGGAACATGTAGCCTTCGATGTGAGCTGTACCGGCCGTCTAACGGTTATCCCCGTATCTGTAGAACGTACCCGTTGGGTAGTCTCATTATTTTGAGCCGTAAGTCTTGGGTTAAAGGTCCCTGTGCTGGACACATTTTTAGTCGTAAGTCCTGGGTTAAAGGTCCCTGTGCTGGACACATTTTGAGCCGTAAGTCCTGGGTTAAAGGTCCCTGTGCTGGACACATTTTGAGCCGTAAGTCCTGGCTTAAAGGTCCCTGTGCTGGACACATTTTGAGCCGTAAGTCCTGGGTTAAAGGTCCCTGTGCTGGACAACCCCGTTGGTAAGACCAAGGAGAAGCCTTGGCCGGCGGGATACTCCTACTGGCCGGACACTCGTTGTAAGGCCTTAGATAAGGCGTTCGGTATATAGTTCGGCAGTAGTCTATTTGTATAAGTGTGCACATGAGTCTGTTATTGATATGATTGATAGGAGATTGGGATAATTAATTGATTTGTATACATGCTGAGACCATACCTTATTGATTATTGATTACTGTTTCACTGTTGTGAATAATGTTTACTGCATAGTGGTGAGCACTACTTTTTCCAACTGTGCTCATCCCCACCTGAAATTCACGTTTCAGGTTAAGCGAGGCAGGTACGACGGCGGAGTAGAGCGAGTGGTAGTCGGTCTATGAGACCGATTACTAATTGATTTTGCTTTCGCTATCTTTATTACTATTTACGATTTATGCATTTTCGAACTTGAGAATTTATGAAGTATAGAGATACTGTTGGGGAGATGCCCCGTTGACATTAACATGTCTTAAAAACTTGAATTTGATTTTGGGAACCCGTTTTGGGTAAAATGTTGATATATGGATTTATGGAGTTATGGATCCCGGTTTGGGAGTTAGATGATTGAAGTTATGTCGTTTGAAAAATAAATGAGTAACGCCTTATATATGTTTGAAATAAATTTTGAAAAATTTATTCTGATTTTCGACAAATAAAAGTGCGGCGTTACATCTAACTTGCATGAATGAGTATGGACGAGTTCTTTACATGTAAAAACATGATTTTTAAGACCAATATGATAGACTTTACATACATGGACATCAACATGGCTCGGGAGAGAAAAATAGGATAATTTCATGGGCTAGTTGACCGAACAAACGTACTCCAAAAATTCTCAAACTTATACATCTTAAATCTTATGATTTTTAAGTGACATTAAGCTATCAATTTCGGCTTTTCCATGCTTGTGGCTAAAAATTCGAAAATAAGGTACTTAATTCCTAAAAATCGAAACTCAAGGAAAATGACATGCTTGGCTTCATTTCTCTTCATGATAAATCATATTTTATCATAAAACAACTAATGGAAGAAGGTTGCTCGAACTTACCTTCACCAAAATGAAAAACGAGTGCTAGGGATTTTTGTCAGTCACTCGCGCGGCTAGGGACTAGTAGCTCGAATTGAGGAGGAATGGTTGAGCTTGATGAGTTCAAAAGACTTATAAAATTCTAAGAAATACTTTGAAAGTGATAAGCCTCGTGAAAAATGGCTTGGAACATGAAAATGGCTCGGTTCTCTCTTCTTTGGGCCTTCTCGCGCACTTGACAAGGCATGGGGGTTGCTCTTGGTTTTTCTTTGATTCCTCAAAGTGTTGGACGAATTTTTAAGAGTCTAAGAGCTTATTTGGGTATGAGGAGTTGGTCTTTTAAGAGTGAGGGGAGTGGGTTCAAGACTCTTGGTCACGGGGACAAAATGAAGGGACATTTGGTCTTCCTAGGTGCATAGGTCTTATGGGATGTCTTGGTCATTGTCTCACCTGAGTTGGGACGTTTTTGGTGGTCTCCAAGGAGAAAAATTGCTGAGGTAAGTGGTCTTGTCTTGGGTATAGGGGATGGGGGACATTCGCTACACTCTAGGTAATTAAATATTCACTTTAAACCCCACTAACCTGGACCAAGACTAGGGGACTCTTGGATTAACTTTGACCAAGGTCAATTGGGCTCAAATAATTCCTTAGTAAGTGGGTTGTAATCCCAAAAATTTGGGCTCGGTTTGGGCGCTGGGCCTCGGGCGCGGCTTTCTGCTGCTGGGCGTGGCTGGCGCGGGGCAGGCCTGCTGGGCGCGTGGACAGGGCCTACTACGCGTGGCCTACGGGCTGAACGCGTGAATGACTTGGGCTGGTGTTTTTGCTTCTTTTTGTTGATATTTTGGACTTAGAAAAATATACCAATGATATAATAAGGCTTAGACAAGTCTTGGGTAAGGCCATGCCATCGGCTCGAACTTTGGGTGCACGACCAAGGTCATGCGCACGGCTATGGTGCGGCTCGGGGTCTAAAACTTGAACTAGGGACATTTAAAACGCTTAGAAATATTCTAAGTGTTATACTACTATGGCTTAACAATGTCTTGCGAAAAATACTCGGAAATGACTTTGAAATTTGGATCGAGACTAAGGTTCGAGACTAAAATTCTCGAGTCGACTAAATTACACTTATCAACCCAAATAAATAGATTGATCTTGACCTTAACTTGACATAGAAAATTCTAACAGATGATCTAACATAATTGAGCATTTAGCATATAAATTAAATAAATCTTGAATTTCTGAAAATTACGAATTTCACTTTAAAAGTCGAGCAGTGAAAAATCTTCTTAATAATATAATAATGATCGGGCGTTACATTCGAGTTTGGGGTAGTCCTGCACACGTGTTAGTGCAAGAACCTAGCAAGTTGGAGAAACGTTCGGAAGCACGAGTTTTTGTTGGCTATCCCAGGGGAACGAAAGGTGAATTTATTTTATAGTCCTGAGGATCAGAAGGCTGTCGTTTCGACGAACGCAAGATTCTTGGAAGAAGACTATATTATGAATCATAAGCCTGCGAGTAGACTTGTCTTAGAGGAGTTTAGAGGTGAAATCGATGGTTCCCCACCGAGTGCGCAAGTAGATACATCACCTAATATTGCAACACTACACACAGAGAGTGTACCAGTGCAGACAGTGCCTCGTCGTAGTGGGAGGGTTTCTCATTTACCCGACCAATGGATAGGTCTTGGAGAGTCATTGGATTCAGTTTCAGGAGGCCTAGAATCGGACCCAAGAACTTATGATGAGGCACTCCAAGATAAAGATGCAGATTCATGGAATGTTGCAATGAAAGCTGAAATGGGGTCAATGGACTCCAATCAGGTCTGGGATCTTGTAGAACCACCCGATGGGGTACGACCCATTCGATGTAAGTGGATCTATAAGAGAAAGAGAGGATCGGATGGCAAGGTGCAAACCTTCAAAGCTAGGCTTGTTGCGAAAGGTTATACCCAGATCGAGGGAATTGATTATGATGAAACCTTTTCGCCAGTAGCTATGCTTAAGTGCATTCAGTTTCTTTTGGCTGTAGCCGCTCATATAGACTATGAGGTCTGGCAGATGGATGTCAAGACAACTTTCCTTAATGGGAACCTGCAGGAAGACATCTATATGCAGCAACCAGAGTTATTCATTGCTGAAGGTCGTGAGCATCTAGTGTGCAAGCTTAATCGGTCTATTTATGGACTGAAGCAAGCTTCGAGATCTTGGAACATCCGTTTTGATGAGGTGATCCAGTCGTAAGGGTTTACTCAATGTCCGGATAAGCACTGTGTTTACAAGAAAATCAGTGGAGCGTGGTGGTGTTTCTTGTGCTTTACGCAGATGACATACTGCTTATTGGAGATAGTAAGAAGGAGTTATCAGATGTAAAGGTGTGGTTGTCTAAGCAGTTTCATATGAAGGAATTAGGTGAAGCATGACACATTCTTGGTATTAGGCTCATTAGAGACTGTAAGAAGAGAATGTTGTGCTTAGCCCAATCTCCATACATAGATACTGTCTGGGACAGATTCAACATGCAAGATTCCAAGAAAGGTATGTTACCTTTCAGAAATGGAATACCTCTATCTAAGAAGATGTCTCCTAAGACGTCTAAGGAGATAGAGGAGATGAAGACAGTTCCTTATGCTTCGGCAGTAGGAAGTCTCATGTATGCAATGTTGTGAACTAGGCCGGATATTAGCTACGCCGTTGGTATGGTAGCTAGATATCAAAGTAATCTGGGAAGGGAACATTGGTCTGCGGTGAAGCATATACTCAAGTACCTGAGAAGGACTAAGGAGTACATGTTAGTTTACCGTGCAGGCATCTTGTTACCTCAGGGTTAAAGTGATTCTGATTTCCAGTTAGATAGGGATGAAAGTAAATCAACCTCAGGCTATGTGTTTACCTTGAGAAGTTGAGCCATTTCATGGAGGAGTGCTAAGCAGAAATGCGTGGCAGAATCCACCATGGAAGCCGAGTACATAGCAGCCTCAGAGGCAGCGAAATAGGCAGTTTGGCTCAGGAACTTCTTAGTGGACTTAAAGGTTATACCGAGTTTGCCACGTGGTATCACCGTGTACTGTGATAACAGTGGAGCAGTAGCGAACTCAAATGAACCTCGAGCCCATAGGGCAAGCAAAAACATAGAGTGCAAGTACCATCTGATTCGAGATATCGTTGGTAGAGGAGACGTTGATGTTGCCAAGATTACGTCAGAGGACAACCTAGCTGATCCTTTCACAAAGAGTTTGCGGGGAAGGTCTTCGTCAAACACGTGGAAGGAACGCGAGTAATGAGCATGACAATAGGATCGACATAGGTCTTTTAGAATAACGGATTGATAGGACTATACTGTAAAAGTGAAAGCTTTAAGTATAAGTGGGAGATTGTTAGTGTTATATACTGAAAGCTTGCCCTTTACGAATGAGAATCATGTTAGATTAAACAAGTTCTACGTTCTGTTGTTCTGCGCTTAGATAAAGTGGGTCGTTATCGGGCGAACCGAAGATCACTCTATTAGTTACTTGCAAACAAGAATGGTTGTTCACAACTTAGATGGACATGAACACCCCATCCGAATGATTGTAGTGTCAACTGTACAGTTTGTCTTGACTGATTAGTTGCACTAGTACATTTATGTATTGAACAAGATCCCAGAGAGGAGAAGTTCATTTTATACTGATCGTCGTAAATGAACTAGGTCTCGGTTAATTACTGGGTTCTCTTAACCCGTAAGATATTAAACAGGCAGATATGTATAATATATATTATTTGATTCACTTGGGTGAGGTTCAGTTCACTGGATCAACATTCCTACTGTTTTGGGTAATATTATAATATGTAGGATGTGTTGTTAGGATATATACGGTCACGATGTGCATTAGTTTGATGATGTCCCCGGAGTGAGTTCATGAAGGATTGTTATGCTAAACCCTGCAGCTGGATTAAGTTCCGGCATAATAAGAATGTGATGAACGAGCGATAGCTTCAGTGAAATAATAATAATTTAATTAATTCTTGATTGTCAGTAACCGAATTAATTAATGGATATTATATCTTAAACGTGGGGAGATAAATCGAGTAATTATTATTGGAGCCTCAAATATAATTTGGTCTAGGAAAAGGGAGTGCAATAATATAATGTTGGTGGCCCAATAATATTATTTAATTAATTAGAGGAGTGGGCTTGGCCCACAGTTAGTCTAATTAGTTAAGGAGCCCTATTCCTAATCTCCTAAGGGTCCCAAATGTAGCTCTATATATACATCATTAAGCTCATGAGAAGAGAACAGACATCACATTATACACGTGAAAAAATGCCTCCCCCCATCTCTCTCTCTCTAGATCTCATTCAAGCTTTATTTTCTTCTTGTTGCTCCACTGGTACAAGTTGAAGAAGAGTGTATTGAGTAATATGGTAGAAGATCTGTAGGTAAATCGAGACGAAATATATTTTATCGTACATAACTAACCGGAGGTCTGATCAAGGTACATAGCATCCCCAGACGACCGTCGCGACAAGAGCTTTCCATCGCCGCCGAGAATGCCGTTGTCCGACGCACTCGCCGCCGAAGCCGTCTGAATACAAGATCCGTTTGCACCCGTTTGATCCGGTTTTGATATGATCTTGTTTGTACAACCCAAGATGTGATTTGCGGTCAACTGTCTGTGGTCAACCAGATCTACATAAATTTTAAGCCATAAGTTCTCTACGTCAAACCTTTAGATCCGCTGCGCATAGGTTTACGTTTGCTATTGAATTCGTGACTGGTATATAACGAGATCCTCACAGATCCCACCACATCGTTGCCGGAGGCAGGTGGTGATGGAGGTGCTCGACGGCGGACTGATTTTGTACAGTGGCGATAGCAGTGGCGGGATGCTGTTGATGGGCTGAGAATAGCCACGACAAGCCGAGAAAGGGGACGACAACGGGATGAAAAGGGCCGACAGGTAGAAACCTGACAACGAGATGAGAGGCGGCGGTGGTTGTGCAGGTACAGGCAGAGGCGGAGGCGGATGCGCGGCGATGCTTCGGTGGCCGGAAGGTGGGCGAGAATGGATGGATGTTGGCAGAAGGCAGCGGCGATGTGATGGTTGGACTGCCGGACTGTGTGTGTATGTGTGTGTGTGTGTACTGTGTGCGTTTCAAATCGTGAAAAATGGAGAGAAGACGTGTTGAGGTGAGAGAAAACTTAATGGTGAATTGATTTAATGAGTGGGTCCCACTTGATATGTTTATTTACCACCTTACCCTTAATTATTGGTCAAATACACATATTTGAACACAATATGATCAATAATTACCAGATTGCCATTAATGATTGACCATAGTTTGACTTCATCGTAACCATTGATATGCTTGATCCCATGGTCCAAACTTATTCTCATTTCTTTCATTATCCATTTTTCTCATATGATCACTTCTATATATATATATATATATACATAGAGAGAGAGAGAGAGAAGGGATCATATGAGAATGGTAGATAGTGAAAAAAATGAGAATAAATATGTACCATTGGATTCAACATATGAATGGTTATGATATAGTCAAAATTAATTATGGCAGTCTGATATGGGATATTATATAGGGGTAAAATACGCTGCGCCCCCCTGTATTTAACTAAATGTGCGCGCTTTTACCCCGTGTTTTAAAAAATGCACCATACCCCCTTAAGTTTTACTGCCGTTTGCGCGAATTCCCCCCGACCGTTTGAGTTAACGCGTGTGTATGAAACGCGCTAAATGAGCAAGTGTGTGGATACTTTTTGACCGTTATTGTTTACAAAAAGTCACTTTTACCCTTACTGAGTCTCTTTAAGTATGCCTGCCTTATATCTTCTTCTTCCTCACAAATTCCTCTACCACCTGGGAGCAAAAAAACAGGTATGTTTGCCATTTTTTTTTTCCGCAGCTTTCAACTTTTTATTTTCACAACCTTCAGTTTTTTTTTTCTTGCACAAACTTCTACTGCTTTCCTGTTTTGCCCAGATTGTAGGGATCCAAATACAGGAAATGCACCATAAACCCTAAATATTTCATACTTTAAAATTTGCAGGCTGAAAAATTTCCCAAAAATCGAAGATGGAGAAGATTGAAAGCTTGGATTTACGATACAGGTATCTAAAGTGTTACTGCAATGTGTGTGCACAAATCAGGGTAGTTGGTCCTACAAAAAGAACGGTTGGAAAGCTATTTTGCAATTGTCCGAACAACAAATGTACGTTTTTTGCTTGGTTTAAACCGACAACAGTGAATTGGGTGAAGCCGTGTGCTCATGAAAATGAAGATTATTGTGAAGATGATGTTGAAGTTCAATCAACTGGAGCAACATTAGCACATGAAAATGCTGAAGTCATGTCAATGCTAAAGGAGATGCATTCAAGGATGGAGAAATTGGAAAAAAGATTTAACAATGGAGTGATTTTTCTTGTAATTGTAATCCTTGTAGCGGTTATCATGCTCAAGTAATTGTAGAATGTAATGCTTGATAATGTAAGCCTTTATTTTGTATGAAATTCAAGATTAGAATGAACAAAATGAACATTAGTTGAATGCAAAACATATCCTGGCCAACAACATAAATGCAAAACAAAGCTACAAAATAGATTTGTAGCACCATAAATACCAATATAGTACAATCTGCATTAATAAACAACAACATATTTACCAATATACTATCTGCATTAATAAACAAAACATATAGGCCAAAACAGACTTATAACAAGATAAATACCAACATATTATAAATACCAACCAAAACAGCCTTGTTGCAACATGCTTACAAAATAACAACCAGCCAAAATATGCACTAATGCCAACACTAATGGCCTACAACTTACACAAAAGTGCAAACACCAATGGCCTACAACCAACATCAATAGCATATACAAAATAACTGGTCATAAATGTACCACCATACCACCTTCAACTTACACAAAATAACTAACCAATATGCTTAAGAGACAAAATAAGTGGTTCAGATTTTGGAAAACAATGCCCTTATGACAAAAAAACAATGAAAGGTCCATTTCAACACACCTTGAGCTGGTAGGCACTAGATGCTTTGTTGAGTGGAGCTTTGAGGGCCAGTGTTGTGGAAAAAGTCTTCAACAGGATCAGTAGTAGGCTGAGATGGATGTTGCTGCAATATTCATGGAAGTTAAAAACAATATTTAGCAATAAATTATGTGAAGCTCTTAAGAATTTTGTGAAGCTGAATGCATAAATTATGGAAAATAATAAATTTACCTGTTCAGGTGCACCAGAATTTTCCCTAGCCCTTTTCCTGCAGCTCCTCTTGTTGTGATTCTTCTCCCCACACAATTGGCAGGTCTTAAGATGACCCTTTCTGCTGGCACTTCCTCTCATGGTCTTCATGTCATTACCATCAGCCCTCCTTTTCTTTGTTGGCCTACCTCTTTTTTTCACAGGATCAGGTGGTTGAACTTGGCCCATTCCAGAATCTTCAAAGTCATTCATCCCTGGAACAGGGTTGATCATATGACTATACACTCTGACATACATCTCCTTTTTGAAAAAATCAGACACATAGTTGGAAAGAGTAAACCTGTGATATGAGATGCATGCTAATGCATGGCAACAGGGATACCCAACCAACTGAAACATGCCACAGGTGCAACTTCTAGCATTCAATTGCACAACATGACTCTGAACCCCATGCACCATCTCATACTTATCTTCTCCACCCCAAGTTGGGAAACAATTTCTGCTTAAAATCCTTTGCTCTTCAATTTTTCTTACTGTGTTTGGACATATATCCTCTGCATATTTTTCAATACCAGTTCTCTTCACCTGCATCCTTTCCATCATTCTTCTTCTTATCCACTCAAACATGTCTATGATAGGCATATCCCTAGCTTCCAAAATGTAACTGTTGAAAGACTCTGATAGATTATTCACAATTACATCACACATTGCATTTGGAGTGAAAGAACACCTTGCCCAGTGTTCTTCAGGGATAGCCTTGAGCCACTCAAATGGAGTCACCTTGCCATCTTTCTTAGGGACAAACCTTTGGATTTCTTTCATGCACCTAATGTGTTCTCTCACACTGTATGTACTGGCTGCCTTCCAAAACCACTTTCTTAGTTCCAAATCGCCCCATTTCTGCTTGAAATTATTGTACATGTGTTTCAAGCAATACCTGTGTTCTGCCCCTTGGATTTTACCAACAGCATCAATCAAACCTTTCTGTCTATCTGAAACAAAGGTCCACTTCTTCTCTAGGTATGGTTCTATATCTCTTAACAGCTTCTGAATGAACCAAGTCCAAGAGTCCACCTTCTCAACTTCCACATAGGCCATTGCAATCGGCAGCATGTTGTCATTGCCATCTCTACCAACAGCTGATAGAAGTTGACCACCATGTAGAGTCTTCAGAAAACATCCATCAAGCCCTATAATGGGCCTGCATCCAGTCACAAAGGCCTGCCTCATTGCACTAAAGAAAACATACATCCTCACAAACTTTGGAGGTGTGAAGTCATGGTTGAGCTTTAGGATAAGGCTACTACCAGGGTTGTATTTGACTACAGTGGAACAGTAGTCATACAGTCTCCTAAATTGCTCCCCAATGTCAACCTTCAACAATGACAAACCATAAGCTCTAACTCTGTACACCTTATGAATGCTTATATCAACTCCACAATCTCTTTTAATGTTGTTTCTCAGACTTCGAAGTGGCTCACCAGGATTGTCTCTCAATGTGTCCATCATCCTTCTCCCCAAATACTTGTAATCTGCTTGTTTGTTTTCTGTCCTATAGGCACATGAATGTGTGCCTTTCAGGGTCTTGATCTGAAATGTTGATATATCAGCTATGACTGAGGCCCTCAAATTCCAGTCACACCCACTTTTGCACTTTGCTGTGATGAGCTTAGCTTCATTCTTTGGAAATTTCAAATCATAACCCTTTCTGACAGACCAGTCTTTAAGAACATCCTTGAATTTGGTTCTGGTAGGGAATTTCATACCAACCTTCAACTCAAAACTTGTCGTACTCATGCCATCATTCCATTCATCATCCATTTGAGACAACTGCTCATCATCTTCAACATCACTGTACCAATCATATTCATTACACTTTTTCTTATTTTCAGCTTCTTCTCTTGCTGCTTTTTTCTTCTTTCTTCTCTGTTTCATCCATTCTCTAGCCATCTTGTGAACTTTCTTAGCATGATCAGGATCCCTGTGCTGGAATATATCATCATCTTCAGGTCCTTCTAGATCTTCCAGCTCCCATTCAGACAATTCAGATGACATATCATCACTACTTTGGTCAGGTACATACATTTCATCATCTGAATCATCATCCTCCTCGCTTTGGTGTCCTTCATCCTCATCATGTGATTCACATTCTCCCTGTTGTGCAGTCTCATGTGGTATCTCAGGTTCTTGGCCACCATGTGATTCACATTGTTCATGTTGTGCTTCAAACTGAAGAGGCATTTCATGTTCTTGGCTGTCACCATGTTGTACTCCATCTTCATAAGGTACATCATTATTCTGGCCTTCAGGTTCACCCCTAGATACCTCTTCTGCTATGGCTTCTGTAGTTTCTTCATTAGCCTCATGAAATTGGGAACCATCCTCATCAAACTCCATGTGTGATGGTTGTTGGTCATCATACAACTCCGCTATAAAGCTCTCTTGAGTGTGGGGATACTCAAGAAGAGGTATCTCTTCTTGTGAAGTAATGATGTTCCCATCAATGTCCATCTGTTGTATAGGTCCAGGTAAATCCTCGAAGTATAGTGGAATGACATAAACCCCTTCATATTTCTTCACCAACTCTATGATATCCTTATCAGAGTCTATCTTCATGAGCTTCTTTGCTGTCTGTAGGGTCTTCCCAGGCTTATGTGAATGAATTTCCACAGTTGATGATTTGCCACCAGCTTGCCTGTAGATATCCATGATTTCAAAGAAGGACAACTTGTCCACATCATCCCATTGAACTGCAACCCTCTGTCCCCCAAAATAGTGCCGAAAAGGCTCCCATTTTATCTCTCCCCTAACTCTAACATCAAAACAGGCTGCCATCCTGCATAAAAACAAGAATAAAATGATCAATTTAATTGGTTAATGTAATGGAGTATGTAAAATTAAAATAAAAGGGACCACAATATATACAAAGCACACTATATATTGTTGGTTCAATTCAATTAACATATACAAAGCACACTATATACAAAGCACAACCCTAATTTGTATGACAAGCAAAGATTAGAAAATAAGTAGAACACTGCAAACCCTAATCTCATTTGCATTTCACATAAGGACCATTAACATAAACAACCCTAATTTGTATGACAAGCAAAGATTACGAAATAAACAGAACACTGCAAACCGTAATCTCATATATGCATTCAACAAACAAGCTTTGAAGGTTCAACCATACATAAACAATCTATTAAAACATAGGAAGAAAGGCAATGTGAAAATACCTTAGTATATGAGATCGACAGCAAGAATGAGAATCCTAATTTGTCGCGGACTGAAAATAATGAATCAATTCTTCTTCGACCATATTGAAAGATATTAAGAAGTCGCCATCGACGTGAGATTGACAGAAGTTCTTTGTCGATTTAGTACATTTGTTTGAAATTTGTGATTTTTCGTTGTTGAGATTTTTCGAATTTGGGGTTTTTCGTTCAATCTGTAGCAGTGGGTGTGAATGTGAGACGACTGTTCTAAACCAAGGGACATAACGGGAAGTTTGTAAAATAACTAACGGTGTTTGCACCCAGGGACAAAAAGGGGAGCGTGAGCCGTCGACACTAAAACATGATGGGATAGTATGCATTTTATATAACACAGGGGGATAACGCGCACATTTATGAAAACACAGGGGGATTTTGTGCAATTTCCCCTATT